TTAAATTATAAGATGAAATATTTTATAATAAATAAAAATGTTATTTTTATTTTATAATTTATCTTCCAAACGTATTAAAAAAAGTTAAAACTTCATTTTGGTTCTTAAATTATTGTACGGACCTCAGATTTGCTCTTTAAATTAAAAAAATCCCTAATTTAGTTTTTCCTATTTACTATTTTTTACCCTCATTTGATCCTTTCATTAAATATCCGCCTATGTGTCCTATTACTTGACAGAAAAAGGATGACATGTAAAAGCATTTTGACACCTAGGATATACAGTGTGGCAAAAAAATGAGATGGCAAGAAAAAACTTTAAAATTTTACTTTTTCCTTTTTTATTTTCTTCCTTTGTTTTTCCTTTTTCCTTTTCTTCTTCCTCTCCTTTTCCTTTCACCTTCTACAAACCCTAACACCTCCTAATATTAAATTTGAGGATAACACAACAAATCAATAAATTGAACTCAATAGATCCTTCGACCTAATGGTTGTTAGGTTTGAAACAAAACCCAATGCTTACTGGATTTGATCACCTGCTAAGTTCGAAATTGAACCTAGCACCTTAAGAATCTGAAAATAACATAATAGACAACAAATCGATAAATAGATCGAACTCAACAGATCCATTAACCCAACAACTGTTGGGTTTGAAACAGAACCCAATGCCTTTTAGGTTCGATCACCTGTTGGGTTCGAAATTGAACCCAACACTTGTAAGAATTTGAGGATAACACAACAGACAACAGATCAATAACCAAATTACACTCAACAGATCCATTGAGTCAACGACTGTTAGGTTCGAAACAGAACTCAGCATCTGCAGGAACCCAGCGGCTGCTTGAACCTAGCAACCGTTGGGTTCCATCGACCCTACAACTATTACGTTTGAAACGAACCTAGTGCATACTGGGTTCAATTTCGAACCTAGCAGCTGCTAGGTTCCATTTTGAACCCAACAACTGCTAGTTTTGAAACATAACCCAGCACTTGTTGGGTTCGAAATTGAACCTAGTGCCTGCAAGAACCTAGTAGCTACCTTGCTTTGCCTTCTTCATCTTCATCAATCAATTTTTCATCACCATCAAACAATAAAACCCAAAAAAAAAAGAGAAGATTTTTTTTGGCAAGATACCCAAATCCATCCCTAAAGTATAGTGGTAGAGAGGGATCCACTCCCAAACAAAAAACTGGGACAAATCCACCCACAAAGTTTTCGACTTGGATAAATCACTCCAAATTTAACGTGTGACATCATCTAACATCAGTAATCCGTTAATTCATTAACAGATTGCTGAATTAATGGATTACTAATGTCAGATGACGTCAAATTAATAGATCGCTTATGTCAAATGATGTTACACGTTAAATTTGAGGTGATTTGTCTTCTGGGTGAATTTGTCCACATTTTTTGTTTGGGGGTGGATTTGGATATCTGCTTTTTTTTTTTTTAATTTTTTGCCCCTGGGTTTGATGGAACCCACCCAACATGCCTGGGTTCACATTCCTTGTGAACCTAGGCGTGTTGGGTTCCAAGGAGAAGGGGAAGGGGAAGGGGAAGGGAAAAAGAAGAAAAAAGAAAATAATTTTTTTTTTAATTTTATTTTTCATAATGTTTTTTTGTATTATTATTTTTTCCATGTCATCATTTTTTTGTCATATTGTCTTTTATATGTATTAATATTTGACATGTTACCTTATACCGTGAAGTAACACGCTACGTTACAAGATTTTTAACAATAAGACCAAATTGAGGTAAAATGGTAAATAATAATAACTAAATCAAGGATTTTTTTAATTTAAAAATTAAATTGAGAGTTCGAATAATAGTTCAAGGAATAAAATCGAGTTTTAACTTTAAAAATAAGAAAAAAAAAAAAAAAAAAAAAAAA